GCAGCATGCTAACTTTGTTTGGGCTTCTGGATCTCAAAATCAGATTGGGGGAGGCGGGGAACAACTTCGTTAGCAGTCAGACAGAGTGGGCCACTCAAAAAAATTAAAATGTTGACTACACAGACATAACAAAACACAGCAATATGATTATATTACTAAATGTCATCAATAACTAATAGCTATTGACTGATATTAAAAGCTTTTTTTTACATGCACCACAAAAAAGATGCTTCTTTAACAAAATCCTGCCTACCCCACCTTTAACGAACGGTGACTAGACAAAAAAAAATTTGAGATGATCTCTGTGACTGTGTCAGTTTTCACAAAGCAGTTTTAAACATAATAAAACTGGTGTCAGCACATCACTACTGTTTATAGGGGCTTTAAATACCAGCTAACACACTGCTGTGACATACAACACTGGCCAGAGATTAAAGCAGGGGGCCTCCACAAAAACAGGACCTAATCCTGTAGTTCACAGTCCACTTGAGTCCACATCTGTTCATGTGAAACTTTCAGCACAATCACCGATAAAACTCCTGTGATGGAGCATGTCTGAGGGTGCCATCATATGTAGCTTCATGTTGGAGGTCATGGAGGTTTCATGAATGCAGACCCAAACACCACATATAACTTTATAGTAAGGTGTCATTTTCAGTACTCTTTTATTCTGGGGTTATACTTAAGTTTGTTAAACACTGTCATGGTTATATGATGATTAAAAAGTGAATCTCAAAATGTCAAGAGTTGGTCTAAACTCTGCTCTTGTTTCAGGGCTCTGTTCCTGATGTTGGACAGTGTTTGCAGCCAATAGCAGCATCCGACGGAGGGTATTAAAGTCAGCACTCAGAAGGGATGGGTAGACAGGGGGATGGATGAGCGAGAATCAGCAACTGATACATCAACCAACAGACGGGAGGAAACAAGTAAAAGCAGCTGCTTGTATTCATGCAGAGCTGAGTATGTCTGTCTGTGTCTGGTAGTCTCCTGATCTCAGAACAGAGTCTCCTTCAGTCTTTAGATACTCCTGAACCTCCTGGAGGAAAATAATGGTGTCTTTAGTGCAGAATCTATGGGCCCTGGTTTGACCTGAGAGAACCAAAGGTGGTTTGGATGATGGTCTTTGTATGATATATGGACCCTCAGCCTCTCTGCACTTGGTCTACATTTGACCCTGAGTGTTACTGTGTGTTCTCTGAGGAGGACTCTGAACCCTAAAGTGAACTCTCAGTTTCCTCCTGCTGATGAAGGATTTTTTAAAAGTCCAGATGGTGTTACGAGGTTCCATGTGAAGTGAGTATTTTCCCTTAAATTCTGAGTCCTGGTTTTCCTGCAGGAGTATTTGGGCTTTTCTGATGATGTAAACAGTGTTCATTCATGTGTTTGGTTCTGATGGCTGAGTTTTGTGTTGAGGAATCACTGGGTGATAGAGTCATAGTTTTTATATTTTGGTGGTGTGTTTTGATGTGATGGATACAGATTCAGATTTTCAGGCTTTTTCTGTCTGTTAAAGAGATCTCTCTAGAGTAAATCTTTCCTGTCAGTAGCCATTTTTACATGGGAAAAAATTCTTGATCCGATTAATAAATTGGAGGGATTGGAAAATCTGAATCCACTGTTTATATGGGCACAAAATCAAATAATCCGATGATGACATTCGTATACATGCACAGAACTTTATTCAGATGCAGATGTGACATCATTACACTGTTTGTATGCCTTGTTATGATATCACAGGAGCAGACACTGGACTGAATCACGGGACAGGAGTGTTAATAATGAAACCTCCTTTACTGACCTCAATAAATAAGCCAAAGGCTAAAGAATGAAGACCAAGTCAGGTTAGTGAGTCACGATCAGAGTAAGTGTTTACATGGACGTGTGTCAGAATAACGATTGGCATAAACCACCCCTCTTGATCGGAATACAATTTCAGAATCTTCCGATCAACATGTTTACATGACGCATTTTTATTCCGATCAGGCCTTTATTCTGATTATTTGTGCCCATGTAAACGCAGCTCATGATGAACAGAATAAAACACATCTCTTTACTGAGTGGCAGGACATGGGTACAGCTGGGTTTGTTTTGGACTTTTGCTCATCCTCTTTGCTGGTTTTAGAAACAAACGGAAAATGTTGAGTTGGTTTTCAAACTGAACTTTGTCCTGTCAGAAACACTCAGAGGGAGGACAGAAATAGGAACGCAGACTCACAGTCATGGAAGTTAGGAATAATCAAGATATTTATTTGATCTGTGATTTTATTGAATGTTATTATCATTTATTATCGTTTATAAATCAATAAGCTTCTTTTTCCCACGAAACAAACAAATGATGGATCAGAGCTTCAGCTGAGAGGAAGTTCATCTGTTTCTCAACAGAGAATTAAACTGTGATATGAAGTACCTCACTCTGTCCCTGTGTGACCTAAAGATAAGTTTATTATGGCGGAAATGAATTCCCGCATTCCTAATCTGGGACCCTGTAACCCTCCTTACTGCCCTCTGACAGTCCCTGAGCCTTACTCTGAGAACCCCTCCAATGAACCTTAGATAACCGATAAATCACAGAAGTCACAAATGCTGTTAAAAAGGCAGAAGAAAGGCCTCACCATGTTTGTAATGAGGAGATACTCATTAACATTCAGGAGCCTCATTCAGTACTCATCAGCTTCATACCCAGAGTCTGTCAAATATCCTAAAATAAAGAGCAGAGTTTAAGTTAAAGGCAGACGCTCAGTCTGTTATCTCAGTATTTTAAACTTTTATGGTAAGTAAAAAAAATCACCACCAGAGAGTACAACCAACCACATATGAACAAACAGTATTTTGGCCGTGAAGCTCCTGTCCTGTCCAAGGGCAGTTGGACCCTCTACCACCAAGGGGTGCTCTATGAACCCTAACCCCAAGAGCTCCATACTGACAGCAGCTCTATAACATGATCTATTTCTGTATTCACATATTCAAAATAATGTCTGTCTTTTCTCATATTGACAGTCTGGTTAAGCCTCTGTGGATCATAACATGGGTTATCACTGTGTGAGTATTGTGCATGCTGGAAAATTCACTTTCTGATTATTTGGTGTCAGGCTCCTCCAGGAGGTGTATAACTGGAGTAAAATTCAGTGACGAACCGGCGCTGAGGAAAACCACACACCTGTGCAGTGAGGTGTTCTTCAGAATAGCAACACTGTGTGTGAGTGGAGCTGTCATATCCACAGAAGGAGGCATGGTCTGTACTCTGAAAAAGGTGTCACAACAGATACTCCCTTAGACCACAGAGATGTTTCATTAGTTTGATTGTGTTATGGGGGGGAGGGGCGGCGTGGAGTGGGTTTAACACAGCCGAGACCTGTTTTTGCCAATCAGGACCGCTCCTCTCCTCACCTTTAAATCTGTCACCGGCGAGGCGTTTTACAATTTTCGTGAAGTAGTCAAAGAGATCAAGAGATGTCTGAAGACAGCAATGCCACGCAATGACAGAAGGCAGCCCCTCAACAAGTGTCACTGTAAGCACCGCAGAGGGCATCCTCCACACTGTCTCATATAAGCACAGATGGATTTGGTGTGTGTAAGGTTGGACCCACTGGTAAGACAAACACCTTTTTCCACAACTAAAGACACTCACATAAAGTTGCATATATTTAAACCTCACGTGACTAAGGTGGGTTGTGCGCACAGATCACAACATAAATTCCAATAATGGCATTAAAATCAGAACCATCTGTGCGTAATGATGCATCGCGCTCTGTGGCCTGGCTCTCTCTTTCATAGATGTTGGCCCTTAAAAATAAATTTGGCTCACAAAACTGAATATTATATTTGTATGTAGGCTTAAAGTAAATAACGCATCTGATCAATGAAATAAATCATCTGTTCAGCCGCCGCAGCAGCATCTGCAGCAGGACAGGGAGAGGACACGGACACATGTCCAGGTCCAGTTGCGCGAGAAATAAGTGGAAGAGGAATGAAAGAAAAATTTATTACATTTTTTTATTACATATCTTGTTAACTTCATCATATGTGTCTATTTACTAGATATTTAATTTAACTTAATGTGGTTTCAGCTGTGTTGATTTGGTCAGGTTGGGTGTCCAAATGCGTGCCAAACGTGCTCATCAGATCAGATATAGATCAGAATATATCTATATAGATCTAAATGTATGTGCTGACTCAGATCATTAGTTGTTGTTGATTATTTATTGCACTGAAATGTGCCTGACACTGTGGAAACCTGCTGGTGAGGCATCGGTGACGTATGCCGATACGCCGCCGGTCTACCAAAATACCACCAGACCAGCTACACTCCGCCTGCGCTGAAAGCTGACCAGGTTTGAATCGGGGAGCTTTCAGTGCACTTTATACACCATCGGCAAGCACAAAAATGTCACTGTGCCAGCTGATTCTGTCGACACCTCCCCCCTGCCGCGTTACCACACCCAGCTTGGCGGACCTCAGTGCGCCTCAGTCAACGAAAAATACCAAACTGGCTAAACGCCGGGCTCCGCCAGACAAAAATACCACTGCGCGGGGTCCGCCACCGCGCCGGCAGACACAAAAATAGAGCCCTTCGAGTGACCAGGTGAAGCAGAAAGAGCAGTCAAGTGTCATCAAGCAGGCTGTCTAGAACAGCTGAACCTGGGAGCATGTATAAAGCTGAGACCAGATGTTCCAGTTTATTATGACCCCAGCATGTCCAGACCTGATTGTCCACAAAAAAGTCTACACATCAGGGAGGCAAAGGGGCAGAGAACTTCTCAGCCATTCAAAGGACAATTGCTGCTGCCTTCTTGGATACAGCTGCACCACCCACGTCCTGCAGCTCCTCTAAGGTCCTGCAGATCTTCTGTGGTCCTGATAGAAAATATTCAGTCTTTAACAGTCAGGGTACTTACCACCTGTACTCCTCCAGGTACGTAACACATTTTCCTTTGTTTCGCTATCTTTTCAGACTTCCTGAACTAAACCTCTGAACCACAAGATTTTGTGAGGTGTACAGGATGGAGGGAAATGTCTCCTCACACAGACTCTTCATCCTGGATGGTTTCAGTGAATTTGGAGCGCTGAGGTCCGTCCTCTTCCTCCCTTTCTTCATCATGTTCATCCTGTCTCTGTCGGCTAACTCGCTGCTGCTCTACGTCATCATATCACAGAGAAGCCTCCACTCACCCATGTACATCCTCATCGCTGGCATGGCATGTGTGGACCTGAGCCTCCCGCTGTTCTTTGTCCCCAACATGCTGCTGAACTTTCTGTTTGACTGGAGGGGGATCTCTCTGATTGGCTGCCTGGTGCAAATGCATTTCATCCATTTTGTTGGGGCCTTTCAGTCCACACTGCTAGTGTGGATGGCACTGGACAGATACTTTGCCATCTGCACGCCACTCTACTACCATGAGCGAATGGTTCTACCAGGATTTCTGAGGTTTATGATCCCGGTCCTGATCAGAAACTTCTTCCTGAACACACTTATGGTGACTCTGGCAGGAACACTGACTTTCTGTGCATCAAATATCATAAAGCACTGTTTCTGTGAGCACATGGCAGTGGTGCAGATGGCCTGTGGAAGCACCTCTATCAATAACCTGGTAGGGTTACTGACTGCCTTCCTGATCCCTGTTGCGGACTTCATCTTTATTGCTGCCTCTTACGAGGTCATATTCAGCTCTGTGCTGAGCTCAGGAAAGTCCAGTGCCAAAGCCCTTCATACCTGTGTAACTCACATTGTGGTCATCACCGTCAGTCTGACCATTGCTTTGGTTGCTTTCCTTTCATATCGGGTCAGAAATGGTCTCCCTGCAGGCGTTCGGGTTTTCTTCAGCACCATGTACCTGCTGTTTCCTAGCTGTTTCAACCCAATCATCTACGGCGTCAGAACCACAGAGATTAGACAGCACATAATAAGGACTCTGAGCTGCTTTCACTCTCAACTGTGAATCCATTTCTCTCAGAAAATGCAGCAAAATCAAGGTTAACAGTCTTCGTCACTGTTGTCTCGATTGTTGTAAAATCCAGCTCTAAACTCATATCAGCTGTTTGCTCTGACGTAACATCTTCACTCCTGAAAGCTGTGGTACAGTAACCGCTCTGCAGCAGCGATTTATACAGACTGCACAGAACTTTACAAAGGTACAGCTACCTGTCCTGGACCACACCTTTACCTGCTGCCTCCAGACACAACATCCTAAAAGACCCCTCTCATCAGCACATCCGTTTGAACTGCTGCTCTCTAGAAAAACATCAGTTTCTATCTAAAGGCTGTTGCACTCTGAACTTAAATATAACTTGGACAAGTGTGAACTCTTTGGTTCTTTTTAACTGCACATGGTGGCAGGAGTGTGCAGTAAAAGGTCTGGCACAAAAAACAACTGTTGAATAATTTATATATATACTACAGGCCAAAAGTTTGGAAGCAAGGCCATTACAGGCCAAACAGTTGGGAGTAACTTCAAGTTTTTGTTCACAATGCTTTTTTTAAAAATCCAGCATGAGTTTTATGTATTTTGGGATGTATTTACTCCATGATCAGATGTTGCTTACATGGAAAGGCACCATTTTACTCCATTTGCCTTTAGATAAACATTGATGTTAACAGACCATTGCTAAATATATGTCAGCAAAAGATAAGGGCTAAGTTTTAGGGTTGAAAACATTTGCAAGAGTCACAACTCCAGTGCAAAAGCAAAAAAACAGATCACAGTTGGATTATTCATTTCAACTTTTTGGCTTTTGAGAGTCTGCATACAAAAATCCTGATAAATCTCAACTGCGTTCAAACTACCCCAAAAATGGCTAGAAAGAAGCAACTGAGTAAAGAAACAAAAGTACAGATTTTTACATTGAGGAAAGAAGGATACACAGAAAGAGAAATATCAAAACACCTAAAGGTGTTTAACAAAGGAGTCCACTACATTCTGAAGAGACTCGAGGAACCTGGAAGTTATGATAATAGAAAAAGACCTGGATGAAAGAGAGTTACTACTAAAGCAGATGATAAACGTGGCATTGTCACCAGTAAGAGAGATCACTGAAAGACAGCACCACAAATAAGGGAGGAAATCAACATGACAATGTCAAAACCCATATCTCTGACAACCGTGAAATGACGTTTGAGAAAGCCTGGTCTGAAGGGTTGTGTATCTTCAAAAAAACACTACTTCTTCCCCAGAACAAGAACAAGAGATATGAGTGGGCAAAAGCTCACAAAAATTGGACTTACGATGACTAGAAACAAGTTTGCACTGTTTGGTTCAAAAAGCAGAGTCTATGTCCGCAGACAAATTGGTGAACGTCTGAAAGCACCATGTGTTACACCCACAATTCAGCATGGAGGTGGTAGTTCCCTGGTATGGGGATGTTTTGCAGGTGATAGAGTAGGAAATATGTCTGAAGTAAAGTATGGAGCCAGATCAGGCTCAAAAGTATTAAAAAGTAGTATAAGTGAAAAAATAAAAAGTGAAGTGAAAAAATAAGATTTGAACCTGAAAAAAATAAAATGGTCCCTGAAAGTCTTGAATTTCGAAATTGAACTTTGAAAAATCCCAGAATGCATGAAAAAAATCTGTTCAAATGTAACTTTGATTCTGTTTTTTAATACTTTTGAATAAATTACTTATTTCTATTTTTCACTTAAATGTATATTTCGATCTTTGAGTACTTTTTTTTTTTCGATTGAATTTTATTTATTTATTTCAGATTCAGATCTTATTTTTACGGATTCAAAACTTTTTTTTCGGTTTCAGATTTTTTTTTTTTCGGATTCAGATCTTCTTTTTTCAGATTCAACTTGAAAAGTTTCAGGTTCACTTTTTTTTCCGTGGGGGCAGGCCTCGACTGAGAGGGGCGCGGTCTGCCATGAGTGACAGGCCTCCCCATCCTTCCCCACCCCATCACCCTGCGTTCAGGAAGTGGCATGAATACACATTAGCTTAGCCTACAATAAGGCTGTATTGGCTGAATGAGATCGTGTTGGTTCGTTCCACTTTAGTGGTGCAATATAAACTGTGATTCATGAAACAGCTCTATTGATAGTAAGTACTAAAAAAATAAATCTACTCATGCCGTCCTGTCGATTTTTAGTAATCAGTGTTTCGGTGTCGAACTATTTCCCTTCTGCGGTGTAGTGATACTTGCACACGCGCAATCGAATATGCAGGGGGTGAAGCGATTTTTGTCACGTGGACCAATAGGAGCCGAGTCTCGTTGCCATAGTATCAGAAATACACAAACATGGCGACGACCGCAGCGAGACAAGCGAGTGAAGACGTTCTCGACTTTACAAGGACACGTTGGGAAACTTACAGAACTAGTATTAGAAAGTGGCTTTCTCTACAGGGTGAGACAAAGGACCTTGCAGAAACTTATAAACTTTGCATTGATATCGACTTGTTCCTGACAATGACAATGTTCCTGATGACGCTGGGTTTCACATAACATGCTACCAGCGATTTATTTGCAAAAGGGGTTTGAGAAACAAGAACGTGATGCAGCCACGGGTCAGTCAAACCCTTAACGCAGCATCGCCGATGCATCCACGTCCACGGCATCTGAAACTCCGCGAAAGAAACTTCGCTCGAGGTTTTAGGCTGTATTGGGACAAAGGAAAAAGTGCCTAGAAAGTGAATTTCGTTCAAATACGCTGGTGCTACTTGTTCAATGCATTTTTGCATAGACAATACCATTCATTCATACCATCCGCGGCTGCATCACGTTCTTGTTTCTCAAACCCCTTTTGCAAATAAATCTCTGGTAGCATGTCATGTGAAACCCAGCGTCATCAGGAACATTGTCAAAGTCGATATCAACGCAAAGTTTATAAGTTTCTGCAAGGTCCTTTGTCTCACCCTGTAGAGAAAGCCACTTTCTAATACTAGTTCTGTAAGTTTCCCAACGTGTCCTTGTAAAGTCGAGAACGTCTTCACTCTGGACAGATGATAGATGCATATAGCATCGTTTCGCTCCTTTTTATGCACTTTTGAAGGCTGTTTTCTTTTTTTCCTGTTCTTTTCTTCCTCTTCGCTTGTCTCGCAGCGAGATGCGGTCGTCGCCATGTTTGTGTATTTCTGATACTATGGCAACGAGACTCGGCTCCTATTGGTCCACGTGACAAAAATCGCTTCACCCCCTGCATATTCGATTGCGCGTGTGCAAGTATCACTACGCCGCAGAAGGGAAATAGTTCGACACCGAAACACTGATTACTAAAAATCGACAGGACGGCATGAGTAGATTTATTTTTTTAGTACTTACTATCAATAGAGCTGTTTTATGAATCACAGTTTATATTGCACCACTAAAGTGGAACGAACCAACACGATCTCATTCAGCCAATACAGCCTTATTGTAGGCTAAGCTAATGTGTATTCATGCCACTTCCTGAACGCAGGGTGATGGGGTGGGGAAGGATGGGGAGGCCTGTCACTCATGGCAGACCGCGCCCCTCTCAGTCGAGGCCTGCCCCCACAGAAAAACAGGCTCAAAAGAGAACCTGAAACTTTTCAAGTTGAATCTGAAAAAAGATCTGAATCTGAAAAAAAAAAATCTGAAACCGAAAAAAAAGTTTTGAATCCGTAAAAATAAGATCTGAATCTGAAATAAATAAATAAAATTCAATCGAAAAAAAAAAAGTACTCAAAGATCGAAATATACATTTAAGTGAAAAATAGAAATAAGTAATTTATTCAAAAGTATTAAAAAACAGAATCAAAGTTACATTTGAACAGATTTTTTTCATGCATTCTGGGATTTTTCAAAGTTCAATTTCGAAATTCAAGACTTTCAGGGACCATTTTATTTTTTTCAGGTTCAAATCTTATTTTTTCACTTCATTTTTTATTTTTTCACTTACACTACTTTTTCAATACTTTTGAGCCTGATCTGGCTCCATAGTAAAGCGTATCATGAAGAAGGAACAGTACCACTCCATCCTCCAGCACCATGCTGTTCCATCTGGACTCAGACTTGTGGCTCGTAAGTTTGTTTTGCAGCAAGACAATGACCCTAAGCACTCTGCCAAGCTCTGTCAGGGTTACCTAGACAAAAAAGAAGCGGAAGGTGTTCTTCAAAAGATGGTTTGGCCCCCTCAGTCTCCAGACCTTTCTCCAATTGAGCTTGTGTGGGATGAACTGGATCGATCAGTCAGAAAAAAAGCGTGAATCAGCAGTCTCTTTTTAATAAACTTAAGAAAGCCACCAAAGATCTAAAAGAGAGATAGAGACAGACTCTAGCTCAGTGTGCCAGATAACCCCGGCAGTCTAAACCTATAGCAGCATAACTAAGAGCTGGTTCAAATCAGCCCCAACTATAAGCTTTATCAAAGAAGAATGTTTTAAGTCTTAGTGCTCCCTGAACCTTGAGCGGTAAATGATTCCAAAGGAGAGGTGCCTGGTAGCTGAAAGCTCTTCCTCCTATACTACTTTTAGAGACATTTGGTAAAACAAGCAGGCCTGCAGACTGTGAGCATAACGGTCTAGATGAAAAGTAAGGTATAACAAGCTCGTCGAGAAATGATGGAGCCTGGCCGTTAAGCGCTTTATATGTCATAAGGATGATTTGAAACTCAATTCTAGATTTAATAGGGAGCCAATGAAGAGAGGCTAAGACAGGAGAGATATGCTTCCTACCTCTGGTTCTAGTCAATACCCGAGCTGCTGCATTTTGGACCAGCTGAGGAGTCCTTAAAGACTTACTGGAGCAGCCTGATAAGAGAGAATTACAGTAATCCAGCCTAGAGGTAACAAAGGCATGGACTAGTTTTTCTGCATCACTCTGAGACAGGATGGGTCTAATTTTTGAGATATTGCGCAGGTGGAAAAAAGCTATCCTAGAGATTTGTTGAATGTGGGAGCTAAAGGACAAATCCTGATCAAATAAAACTCCCAGATTTCACACAGTGGGGCTGGATGCCAGACTGATGCCATCTAGCGTAGCTACACTC